GCAGCAGCAGCAGCAGCACCAGCAGTAGCTTCCCCCATCAGCTGGAATCTGGTTAGAAAAGCAAATTATCAAACCTTACTAAACACCTACAGAATCAGACTCTCTGTTTATGATCCAGCAATATATGTTTTCATGATCTCTCCTGGCAATTCTTATATATTCTAAAGTTTGAGAAGCACTGTTCTATTAAAGCTGGGTATTTTCAAAGTAATTTTCTAGGATTTTAAAATTTCAATAATTAAACTGACCATCAGTGAATAGGGAAACGTTTTCAACCCAATGTTTTCAAATGCAACTGAGATGAGAAATAAAGCTATCCTCAGCATATAAATGCTGGATTCCTGGCCCTAGCTGAGTATTAGAAGGTCCTGGGAGGTTTTTAAAAAAATGCCAGGATTTTATCCCCAAATCAATTGAAACAGACTGGGGGAAGGGGAAAGATGAAGGCAGCAATTAAATGTATGTATGTATGTATGTATATGTGTGTGTGTGTGTATGTGTGTATATATATGTGAGAATCCCAGTTATTCTAAGGCATGGGAAAGTTGAGAATCACTGATATAAAGCAACCAGAACAGTTAGACCCTTAGCAGAACAGTCCAAGAACTAGGAAACAGGGCTATGTGGCTATCTATAGCAGACCCCCCTCGCCCCCCCTCCCGCCCCACACACACTTTCATAGACTGGGTTTGCACCACATTAATTAGGCACTAGCTAGCATGTAAGACTTGGGATAAGCACAGAACCCTGTATTGCCTCACATCCTTTTAAAATCTAACTGGCTGAACAGTTCCAGTTTCTAGTACATAGTTCGAATAAATGTAAGTTTAGGGAGCAAATCTAGTTTTGATGCTATAGGGTGGATACCAAATAATTTAAAAAATAATAAAAGCTTGAGCATGGAGCCACCACCATCCTACATAAACCACATTGAGACATTCTCGCCACACATCCAATTGGTTCTACCATCTCTTTTCTGTCAGAGAAAAATACAACTCGAGCTTGAACAGGTCAGGAGCACTGATGGCTTAAAAATGAAATCCTACCATAAAAGGACATCAGAATCAAGTTAGTCAGTTCTGGAAATATACTATTTTATCATATACCATATTCATATATACTCTTTCATAATGAAATATTGAGAACAGAACCATAAATTAAGAAAAAATTCAATGTCCATCTATTTCACAGCACTCTGCACATTAACTAAACAGATTTCCATAAAAGCCCTTACGAGGTCAAGACAGGTATTATTATTGCTATTATTTTAGTTTTACTCATGAAAAGATAAACCCAGATAGTTAAGTGAATTTTCCAGAGACAGACTGCTAATAGTAGCTTTAACTATGGTAATAATATTCTAATGTTTGACATCAATAACTGTACATACCACTATTAAAATCTTAAAGTATTGTTGATTACTATTTCCAGAAGACTACAAATGGCCAAATGAATTAAAATAGATAAAAGAGGGAAGTGGGAAACCCAATATTTTAAAAAACTCCAACTGGGGGAAGAAAAAGAAACCATAAAGAAAGTTAACTTAAAATACTTGGAAAGACTGTAACTTCTTTTTAAAAAACTTTTCTACAGTTGCTAAACTTGTCTCTGAATTCTTAACAGATCCATAAAGTATATAAATAAAATATAAAGTGTAAGATAGAGCTCTGATTTTATACTCAGGCTTATATCACTGCTACAGAACATTCTTAGGATAATTAAGCAATATTTTTGCCTCATAGAATACTAGCACCATTAAATCAATTTGATCTGCTTATGTTCAGAAAATTTGTTTACTGATATTTTCATATTCCTATTACATGAAACTATGGAATTGTATTCTGCTTCATTTGAAAATATAATACACTTCTTTCAAATCTGAAACCAGGAACTTTAAAAAACTGTTAGCAAATTTAGTAATGCAGAAATTTATGCTTTAACTGTCGAGTAAAAACATAGGGAGATACAGGAAAATACTTTAACAATATTTAACCTATTAGACCATCTTTCATAGTTTGTGTTTATTAAAATTAACCAACTATAATGTAATATTTAAACATTTTATACCACCAAAGTATTAATAAACCCAACAAGGGGCTATCACCTTTTCTTAAAATATACACATTACATGCTTCCCTAGGATAATCTTTCACTATTAGAAGACAGGCAGCTATGTACTATTCTTAATTAAAGCCCTATTTCAGTTAAAGTAGAGCAATCTGCAATTTAATTATAATATAAACTGTAATGTAACTAATGACATTGTATGTATTTTCATCAGATAATTAGAACAGTCAGTAAATAAAGCTTTACAAAGCAGGAAATAAAACAGGTGAGGGGTTGTGCCTCATTCGTCACCTCACTGCTAATGAGAGTCTGAATGAAGATCAGTCATTTCCTACCTATGCCTTGACGGTGTGCAATAAAAGCACACACTGTAGATAGCTCTACTAACTTAATGTAACACCAAGCAGGCGTCAGAAAAATCCACACAGAGAAGTGATAAAATAGTGTACAGCTAAAACTAACTCATTTATCAAGACAGACAGAATAATTATGAGGAATGCCCAGACTGTAGGCCCTGTGATAGAAATGAATAATGGGAACATTAACCACACTATTTTAAGAACACACTTAAAAAACCCCCAAATCTAAGTCTACTCTACCTAGACTTGAATTACCTTTGGAAATACAGTAATGGTGAAATGCCTGATTTTACAATCACAGAGGTAATTTTTCTGCTTCAGGTTGGAGAAAAAAAAGCATAGGCTTCTTGCTAATAGTAATAACAAGAACAGACACCAAACTTTGACATTTTCACATTAGAGAAATTGAGTTCTACCAAAACCTAATACTAGAAAGGCAATGATTTTCTTTTAGCGGAGGTATGTAACTTATGCATCCTCATTCTACGATCGTATTGGTGAAGGAAACATGTTAGTCCAGTGAGGAACTGTGTATAGCATTTAGGTCATCAAATGAGTACTTTCTATTAAATCACAATTTCAGAATTTATTGAATTAAGAATTCTTATCAAATTAAGAATTTATAATAGATGTGGAAGAAAAGACAATTTAAAAATATTTTTCTTCTGAACCGCTTTTGGAATAGAGTTCCTAATGTAGTATATGAGTGAATTATTTAGTTTCTCTGCATATATTCAGCTTGCACAAATACTGAAATACAACTTGACTTATTGATGTTTTGTCTCCAAATACATAAACCTCCCCAATTCAAAATGCTGCTTGCTTTAAATTCAACCTGGTGAGTACTTATTATCTCTCCTTGGCCCATCTTAAGTTTGTCAATTACATGTGTGAGTGTGTAACACAGAAAAAATATATTCTGCTTTACCAACCAGGCTGTGAGTCCCCTGAGGGAAAGAACATGCCTGTTATCTTCTTGAATAAAGTGAAGAGAAGTAGAAACTCTTCCCAGGACTTAGTAAGAAATCTTTATCACAGCAGAGACTCAAATAAATGCTTAGTTTTGACAAAGAAAAGGTAAAGAAACCAATTATCTTTAGGCAATAACCAGAATACCAGAGGAATGTGAACAGATAATACCAATAAGTTTACACTGCTGTTAACATATAGATGTTGACAAAGAGACACATTCAAAACGATTTTCAAAATTGAGAGGGAAGAGCAGAATTACGATATTACAGCCAGCACATTCAGTGTCTCTCCAGTGGTAATTCTTGCCAAGAGTTTCAAAGTCAGTCAACAATGACTAACACAGCTAGTCTAAAAAACATCTTTAAACCCCCCTTTTTTCTTCTCCTGGGTAGCTTTCTACATTCTCTTATTCTGAGAAGGTAATTAAAAAACATGATTTTGCCACATATATGTTTCCCCCCTCCTTTGAAACTTTTGCTGGTGACAGCCTTCCAAAACTAAGAAAGCAGCTTTAGGCCAGCTGTTCCCTATACCTTGGCCCATACTGTGAAATAAAGTGATTCGCAGAACAGTATATATGTACAAGTGACACCAAAAGCACATCTTGAAAAGTAATATTGTAGATAAATACGAAATGTCACTTCTTGCCCTACAGGAAAACTTTTAAGATGATAAATCATCCTCACACCTTGAAGTATAGCTGATTCAAGGAGTGTACTTGATCAGGCAAAGGAATGGGGAATTTTAGTGAACTGATACTATTAATTTTGCCAGTGCTTATTGTGCAAATTTGGGTAAGTCACTCGTATTTAGTAAATGGGATTGAGAGTGGATACAATTTATAATTAAAAATTCATGCATGTTGCCAAGAAGAAATTATTTTTATCATCTGCAAAATGGTTGCTCAATTTCATTCAGTTTAACTTCAAAACATCAGAGAACACCAGAAAGTCTGTTCAGCCTGGGGGTATGTATGTCTGTGTGTGTGTGTTTTCCAATTGGGGCCACGTTCTCAAGAACTTGGCATATTAGGGTTCTCCACCAGAGAAGATCAGAAGGTTGGATTGATCTGAGTGAGTGCATCAGCTGCCTTCCCTTCTTACAACTGGGGGCTGGGTAACCGCAGGTGCTCCCAGTCTCCATTATACCAGCTCCTTTTATGGGGGATCTGATTAGGCCAAATATTGTATCTCTGCCATACTTCTAACCAGTAGCTCAACTGAAATAAAGGTTCTTAGGAATTTGCTTCTTTGGAAGTGAAATGCTTTGATGACAACTTTAAAGATAATGGGATTCTTTTGGTATTTATGGAGAGAGACAGTATCATTGATGCAATATCACTATGAAACAGTGAAAACCTCCAATCCTGTCTGGCCTGAATGACTCTGTTGAGGTCATGCCATCCCACAGTGGGGACCCATCTGAGGCTATGGAACACTGGAAAGCTAATAGCTGCCAATGAAAAGACAGATCTCAAGACTCCCAGTGGAGTCTGCTAGTCACCAGCATCATACAAGTAATTATCTATCTCATGTATACTTATTAAGCAACAATCTTGAATATTTCAACTTAAAACATGTTGTTGAAAATGAAGAGTTTTACCTTTTCATATTCAGCAATGCCCAAGGTATTCCAGAGGGAGTATGAAATGCAGGTAGTAATTTTACCCCAAGTTCCACTGCTTTCTTTCGAAAAATCTGAAAAGTTAAACAGTTAACTGTAAGCTACTGTTGCAAGCAAAACGAGAGGTACTACACTATTATCTAACAGTTACCACTTTTCTACTTTAATATTTTCTACCTTAATATCGGACAAAAAGTTTACCAAATTAACAGAATTACCCAGTAAAGCAACAATGGTCCAGGGGCCATCACACTGGGGGATATTTATTCCCAATCTTGGTTGCTCATTAGAATCATGTGGGGAGATTTGGATGCTACTGATGTGAACGTCTTACTCTTGAGATTCTAATTTCTTTGGTTGTAAGCTTCTGGATCAGGATTTTAAAAGCATCACAGGCGATGCCAGGTGATTTCAACGTGCAAGCCAGTGGGGGAACCACTGTTGTTGGAGGATAAGACTGAGAACCAGGAGGTCTGGTCTATCCCACCTTCAGCACTGTTATTTACTAGAGCACAGAGGAAGGAGAAGTTTTAAAAAGACATTATCACAGGTCTATGTGTCTTCTCAGCCCTTGTAGCTTTAACTTTCTCTGATGTTAAGTGTGAGTGATATAAAAAATACTAAGTTAAATTAGGTACAGATTCTGCCCAGAGTTTAGTAGGGAAGATAATTATATGCACATAAATATCTAGAACACAGATAAAATGAGAGCTGGAGATAAAATACTAGGTGAGTTCAGTGAGGCTGTATGCTGGAGACAGCATTTAGATGAGAACTGCATGCAGCATTGAACTGGGGCCGATAATACCACAGACTGGAGTGAAGATTGGAAAGCAAAGAGGGATCAGCCTCCTCCCCACGGAAGAAGGCAAATGGGGCCCTACAGAATAAACAGGGAATTGGGCAGCCGGCCTGAAAAAAGGGGATACTGGTAAATGAGGTCAGGCATCCACAGCTCAGGCCAAAACATGGAGGGCCACACATGTAAGGCTACAACTTTTATTCTGGTTAGAATGGAAAAATAATGAAAGTTTTTGAGCTGCCAAATCTACTGTGCAGAACTGTGTTTTAGGAAGATTAATTAGATGAGATCTATCCTCAGTTTTAGGTCCAAAGAAAAGCACTAGCTTATTTACTGAAGAAAGGCCTGCTACAGTTGTAGCACCAAGCAGGTGCCTAGTCCCGTCCTTTAAGCTGTATGACTCAGCATGGCGGACTGGAAGTGTACCATTTCCTCCTCAAACAAGGAAGAAGTGACAGAGGCTGGAGGAGCCCTGAAGAGGATGGAAAATAGAAGCAACGTTCTCTGTCGGCCACTGGGGAAGCATTCACTAAAGCAATCAACAAAGAAGTCGTGTGTGGCTTCTCCCCAGAGGGAAGGGCTTCAGTGTCTAACTCCTGCCCTAAGTTCTGAGCCTCTCCACTAAGACATCCAGGCACCTGGGCTCCCAGATGGAAGGTAATCCAGTAATACCAATGTTGACGCTACTTCCCAAACCCTATCTTTTGGGATCTTAAAAAAAATTATTTTTTAATTTAAAATTTTCCTTATGCATACCATAGATCTTTTGGAATCTAACTCTCATTTAGTAATGGAAGTCAAGAAAGAAATGACTTTGGTTGACAGTCAATTTAGATAAACTGATATTCCTTGTATACAAATAAGCACATTTGTAGTATATAGAAAATGCTAAAAAATAGAGGTGCCATTTTCTCCACAAATTATTGTAACTCTTGTCAAAGATGATAATTTCCTGTATCAATAACTTGTAGCGTATGGAGAGGAGAAAAAAAAAGCAGAGCAAAGGGTATATTCTTCTTTCCCTTTCTCTGCCTTACCCTAGAGAAATTTCATGTTGTCTTCTGCTATAAGGATTTATCCAATCACTGCCCAGCCATCTGTTGACTTTCTGGTTTCTGCCCAACTTTTAAAAACTGTTAATTAACTCCTTTTCAAGAAACTTACATAAGATCAAAGTCAAACCATGTAATTAAAACATGAAGTTGGGTATAACCATATGGCACAGGAGTTGAGAGTTCAGGCTTCGAAGCACAATGCCTGTGCTTGAATCTCAGCTCCACTTCTCCAAACTGGGCAATCTTGTACAACTTGCCTAATTTCTCTGTCCTAGCTTCCTCATCTGTACAATGCAGATAACAACAGCATTTACTCTTTAAAGGCTGTGGAAAGAAATAATAAGTTATTATATTTAAAGACTTTAAGACACATAGTAATCACTAACAGGTAGTTGTAGTTTTTATGGTGATAATGATAATGGTATTTCCTCAACAAGCTGGCTTTTATCCAACCGTTGCTTTGGTACCTTCTACTTATTCAGACTCCTCTCTCGTTCTCTCTCTCTCTGTGCGTGTATGTGTGTTACTTACTCCCCACCTGTCTCCTTGCCTCCTCCCCAACATACACACACTCTTAATCATGTGCATGCATTCTCAAGAGCTAAGGCCTCAGTTCTCATCACCTATTTGCATTCTCAAATTCAACTTTCTATTTTAGCTCTAGTTCAGTACTTCTACCTGTGTACACTCACCACAATTTGGGTGTCTTGTTATCTTCTGAAACTTAACATGTCCAACATGGAATTAATCTTTTAATATCCTGGGCAAACTTCCCCAGCTCTATCACTGATACTACTTTCTGGTCAGTCCCTTGGACTCAAGTGAGCAGGCATTTTTGATTTACTGCCCGCTTCAGTCACCAAGTATCATTGTTAACTCATTTGAAATGTCTTGTATGCAGTTCATTCTCTGATAGGAGCACAGGCCATGTTCTCATTGCCAGGTACAATGAAATGTATGATTTAAAAAAAGAAGGTCCTCCTATCTAGTCTGCTTGTTCCCTTATTTTCATTAATAATTTTCCCTCATTTCTATTAATCTGTATTTATATTACCAACTTTCTCTTTTTACCATACAATTTTCTTGTTCAAGAAATGATCATGACTTCCTCTGTTGTCTAACATCAGGTCAAATCTGCTCTACTGACCGTTCAACCACCTTTATGAATCAGACCCTTCAATTATTTTCCATCCGTCTGGCTCTGGCTCCAGCTCCAGCTTTTGAGTCTTCATGGTCTTAAGTACTCATTCATATTCAGTCCATCTTAGCAACTTTATTTATACATTCTCTCATTTTAAATCACTCTCTTCCGCCTCCTTTTGGCTGGTCTAAATTTACTTATTCTTTAAGGGCAAAGTCAAGTCCAGGCCAAGACTCCAGGCCAAGATCTTTGCCTTCTGTGAATTCCCACACTGACAACTAGTACCATACAATATGGTCTTTGATACAGATCCCTAAATGAAGATACAGAAGGCAAGAGAGAGATCTCTGAACATTTTCTTGTGTGTTTTCTCTCATATACCCCAATAATTTTTTCTTCCTAGAAGTAGAGAAAAAGACCCCAATTTCTCCTTCACTGCCTATTATACAGATCTAACCCAGATTAAGTCATTTTGTATTTAAATTTACGGGTATCGCCACAGGGCTCCTATGAGTAGTAGGCAGGAAGAATTAATATTCTCAGTTAACAGACAGGAACAGTGGCCCCTTCCCATATCAGGGTTTTTACACTTGCAGTTTCCTCTGCCTGCAATGCTCTTTCCTGAGCTCTCTCCATGCTTCGCTCATTCTTACCTTCAGGAATCTGCATAAATGTCCCCTTGAGAGGTCTTTTCCTAACCACCCCACACAAAGTTGGCCATCCCTATTTATTATATCACCTTGTTTCTTTTCCACTATTTATCATGTCTTAATTATTTTATTTGCTTGTTTATTGTTTGATAACTCCACTAGATACGATCTCAATGAGGGCATGGAAGCAGCTGGCACTCAATAAATGTTCACTTAATAAATAAATGAATCAATCTAAGATTAATTATTAGGTGAGTACAAAGGTAATCGTGGTTTTTGCATTGTTGGAATTTGCTGTTTGGTATTTGAATACATTCTTAAATGTGGTTATGTTACATATAATTTTAATGGTTATTTCTCGCTTTCTTAATTTTTTTCCTAATGAATTATTACTTGCTGTTTATTTTATGTTGATTTTAGACTATGGAAATGATGTTAGACAGAAAGCAAATTCGAGTGATTTTCTTATTTGAGTTCAAAATGGGTGGTAAAGTAGCGGAGACAAACTACAACCTCAACAACACATTTGGCCCAGGAACTGCTAACAAACATACAGTGCAGTCGTGATTCAAGAAATTTTGCGGCAAGGCGCAGGGGCTCACGCCTGTAATCCCAGCACTTTGGGGGGCAGAGGTGGGTGGATCATGAGGTCAAGAGATCAAGACTATTCTGGCCAACATGGTGAAACCCCGTCTCTACCAAAAATACAAAAATTAGCTGGGCGTGGTGGCGCATGGCTGTAGTGCCAGCTACTCAGGAGACTGAGGCAGGAGAATCCCTTGAACCTGGGATGCGGAGGTTGCAGTGAGCCAAGATCATGTCACAGCTCTCCAGCCTGGTGACAAAGTGAGACTCTTGTCTTAAAAAAAATAGAAAGAATAAGTTTTGCAAACGAGACGAGAGCCTTAAACATGAGGAGCATAGTGGCCAGCCTTGGCAAGTTGATAACGACCAATTGAGACCAATCATTGACACTGATCCTCTTACAACTACATCAGAAGTTGCCACAGAACTCGACGTTGATCATTCTATGGTCATTTTACATTTGAAGCAAGTTGAAAAGGTGAAAAAACTGGCTAAGTGGGTGCCTCGTGAGCTGAGTGAACAAAAAAATCGTCATTTTGAAATGTCTTCCTCTCTTATTCTACACAATAATATGAACCATTTCTCGGATTGTGATGTGTGACAAAAAGTGGCTTTTATATGACGACAAGCGATGACCAGCTCAGTGGATGGACTGAGAAGAACCTCCAAGAGCACTTCCCAAAGTCAAATTTGCACACCAAAAAAAAAGGGCAATGGTCACTGTTTTGGTGGTCTGGCTGCCAGTGAGATACCACTACAGCTTTCTGAACCCTGGTGAAACATTGTTCTGAGAAGTATGCTCAGCAATCGATAAGATGCCATAGAAAACTGCAATGCCTGC